TATTTACTACTCATTGCAAGTCTGTGCTCTTAAAGAATATCTGTCCTATCCCCCTAACCCTTATGCCCTGGTAACTACCAATTTTACTTTGTTTCTATGAGTTTATTATTAGATTCTACATAGGAGTGATCAGTTCAGTTCAGTTGCTCAGTCATGTCTGACTCTTTGTGACCCCTTGGGCTGCAGCATGCCAGGCTCCCCTGTCCATCACCAACTCCCAGAGCTTGCTCAAACTTATGTCCATCGAGTCAATGATGCCATCCAGCCATCTCATCCTCTGTCGTCCCCTTCTCCTCCTGCCTTCAATTTTTCCCAGCATCAGGGTCTTTTCCAGTGAGTCAATTCTTCACATCAGGTGGCCAAAGTATTGAAGCTTCAGCTTCAGCATCAGTCCTTCCAATGAATATTCAGGAATGATTTCCTTTAGGATTGATTGGTTGGATATCCTTGCAGTCCAAGGGACTCTCAAGAGTCTTCTCCAACACCACAGTTCAAAAGCATCAATTCTTTGGCATTCAGCTTTCTTTATAGTCCAGCTCTCACATTGATACATGACTACTAGAAAAACCATAGCTTTGACTAGACAGACATTTGTCAGCAAAGTAATGTCTCTGCTTTTTAATATGCTATCTATGTTGGTCATAGCTTTTCTTCCAAGGAGCAGGCATGTTTTAATTTCATGGCTTCTGTTACCATCTGCAGTGATTCTGGAGCCTAAGAAAATGAAGTCTCTCACTGTGTCCATTGTTTCCCATCTATTTGCCTTGAAGTATTGGGACTGGATGCCATGATCTTAGTTTTTTGTTGAGTTTTAAGCCAACTTTTTCACTCTCCTCTTTCACTTTCATCAAGAGACTCTTTAGTTCTTCTTTACTTTCTGCCATAAGGGTGGTGTCAGCTACACATCAGGTTATTAATATTTCTCCTGCAATCTTGATTCCAGCTTGTGCTTCATTCATCCAGCCTGGCATTTCGCACGATGTATTCTGTATATAAGTTAAATAAGCAGGGTGACAATATACAGCCTTGACATACTCCTTTCCCAGTTTGCAGCTAATCTGTTGTTCGATGTCTGGTTCTTAATGCTGCTTATGAGTAATATCACACAATATTTGTTTTTGTCTCTCTTATCTCACTTAGCAGAAAGTCCTCAAGGGCCAAAGATCTCTTTCTAACATCCATATCTGATCATGGCATTTTTCCCAAGTAGGTTTGTCCATTGATTCTGCACTGTGGATAAAAGAAACTGTAAAGTTTTTTCTTTGCTTGATGTGCTGGGTCCTTCATGGTCTTGCTCTTGTCTGTCTAATATCTGTCTGGCTTCATCTCCAACAACACATGTCTGTGTGCTTTCATGCCTGTGCATGTGCTCTCTGACCCATCACAATGCCCTTCCTGTAATCTGTGGGTGTCAGACTCCTCTCAGGTCTCACCACACACACAACTGCTCTGTGAATTACACTTAGGTTTCATCTACAATGTTCCCACTGTATTTTGTATTTGCAGTTTTCATAATGCATTATAACTATTTTAATACCTCATTCTCCTTTTGTATTTTTAGCTCCTTGAAAGCCAGGATTTTGTCCTCCTATCTTTGTATTCCCAGCTTTTAGGATTACCAGGAATCTAATACAAAGTAGATGTTTAATGAATATTTGCTGAATAAATTTAGAAGTTTCTCCAAAAATTTTAATTTAACCAGAGCATTTATATATTATATGATGAAATTAAAGGTTAAAAACACTTATATGACAGTCTATGTTTCCTGGAACAGTTCCAATTTTAGAGAGTCTAGGTTCTTGAAGTGTTAATGTAGTTACCAAGACACATTTGATGCTTTTGAACTGTGGTGTTGGAGAACACTCTTGAGAGTCCCTTGAGATCCAACCAGTCCATCCTAAAGGAGATCAGTCCTGGGTATTCACTGGAAGGACTGATGTTGAAGCTGAAACTCTAATCCTTTGGCCACCTGATGTGAAGAGCTGACTCATTGGAAAAGACCCTGATGCTGGGAAAGATTGAGGGCAGGAGGAGAAGGGGACGACAGAGGACGAGATGGTTGGATGGCATCACTGACTCAACGGACATGGGTTTGGGTGGACTCTGGGAGTTGGTGATGGACAGGGAGGCCTGGCGTGCTGTGGTTCATGGGGTTGCAAAGAGTCGGACACAACTGAGCAACTGAACTGAACTGAGCTGAAGCTATATGTTAATTTAAAAATTTTTAACAACTCATTTTCCTATTTGATTTCATGTACTTTTTAAAAATTTTCTAATTAAAGTCTTTTTTTCTAATTCAGATCACTTTCAAAACAATAGATAATGAAAAATTGGCATATACAACAGAAAAATACCTAAATTTTAGTTCTGTCATTTTACCGTGCACTTTGGGTCAAATAACTGCACATCTGTATTTATATGAATATTAATTGAAATTTAGAAATCCTTAGGTATAAGGATTATCAATAATCTTATCAATAATAAGATTAGGGTTGGTACTGACAGACTATAACGCTCAAAAATATTCTGACTCTAGGATGCTGTGAGAGTAGCTCCCAGTCTTTTTAGACTTCTGTTATTCTGGTTTGATTTCTTTGATATGGAGACCCTGCTTTTACTCCTTGTCCTCCTTCTAACAATAGATTATTTATTTAACTTTAAATGAATTTTTAAAGTAATTTTGAGAATGTATTGGTACTCTCAAGAAACTGGAGATTTCATAACGTATCACACATTCATACATGAAAATGCATTTGTCAAAGACACTGTTTGAGAATTCCCAATTAGGATCTGGAGTTGGCTCTAACTTATTACTATCTTTGACTGTTGAGCAAAGAGATATTGGCAGAGTAAAAGTTTGGAGCCAGAAATGTTTGATGTAAATCATGAGTCTTTGGGTAAATAACTCTCTTTGAGCCTTAGTTTCCTCATCTGCAAAATGAAATATTAATGCCTGCCTGAAATGGTTATGAAAATTAACGGTTTCTGTGATGGTAGGTAGTGCCTACTAAATAAATTTTTCATAAATTGTAACTCCTACTTGCTTAGTTTTAATAAAACCCTAGGAATAGATAAAAGGGTTTCCTGTTACACTAATTATTGGATAATTTGTCTTGAGCAGTTGTTAACACTGTTTTCCCAAGGAGATTGGTCTTTGAGATTCTAAAAACAAAAGTGTGTTACAGACGTACAGATCAAGAAGCAGAGTCAGGGACTGTTGTCATCTTGTCCTTTTCTACTATCTCCTGACATACCAGTTAAAGAACAACGTAAATGGATTTGCTTCCCCTTTCATTTTATTATGTATAATATTGTTAGCATTTTTTCTTGCCTACATAGTTTCCTGGTTATGTTAAGGAATTCATTTGGCTAGGATCCTTTGATCTAGCCTGTCAGAGTGTCTCTCTTTTAAACTTTCTCCACAATCAGATCATTAAATCAGTGTCATTTTACAAATAACCTTTTGTGACAAATAACAAATAACCTTTCTACATTACAAGAAAAAAAGGGAGAGAGAATGAACAAAGGAGAACGTCCTCAATCCCCTCTGATTCTACGAGCCTGCTTGTGTCACAGGTTTTCCCTCACTGCTTTCTATTCACATGTGTCGTCAAGAGCTTTCCTCGATCCACCTGCCTCCAGTTATTACTATCCACTTTAGAGCCAAACTTCCAGAAGAGCTGTCCCTTTCCTGTGTTTTCCCTATAGGCACTATCCAGTAGCTGAGATTTGGCTTCATTCACTCTCCTTCTCTGGAACTGCTTTCCCTGCTGGTTGCTAAACCCTGTGGCCATGTCTGTCCTGTGGTGAGCAGGGCCTGCTTCCTCGTTTTGGCGCACGGGCTTCTCATCGTGGCAGCTTCTCTTGTTGCAGAGTGCGGGCTCCAGGGCACGGGCTTCGTTCATCGTGGCACATGGGCTCCTTAGTCCTAGTGCATGGCTTTGTTGCTCTGCAGCCTGTGGGATATTCGTGAATCAGGGATCAACCTGTGTTTCCCGCATTGACAGGCAGACTCTTTATCACTGAGCTACCAGGGAAGCCCTACTTCTTCCTAAAAAAACTCCCTTGGTCAGTGCACCATATTGTCCTGTGACCCTCCTTGCCTCTGTGGTCAGTGCTTTCTAGTCTCCTCCTCTTCCCCCGCCTGACTCTTGAATGTTGGTGTTTTCTCCTCAGCCCTTCACACATTTTCTTTAGGATTTAAGACTCCTAAGTGAATATTTGTTGAAAGAATGTGTCTGTATATTGATGGTTTCTCAAGAGAATTGACTCTAACTGAACCTCATTAACTGAAAACATTTCAGTATGTTACGACATGCACATCACAGCCCCACTTTTGTGCTGTCTCTCTGGGCCATGATTCTCTTAAGCTATCCTACTACATGCTTGTAGTGAAAAAAATACAAGTCCATTATTCAGCCTTTCTGTCTGTGAGGTTTAGTTAGCTTTTTTAAAGTTCTCTGTATATAGATGGTAATTTTGAAAAGCATGCATTACCCTACATTCTTATACCAGGTTAACTGTTTAATATTATATTTTATAGCATTGATGTCCATCCTCAATAAAACAGTAATGTTTACTTGAAGTAGCAATTTAATTTAAATACACTCTGCAATATATATTCTGAAGTTTAGGATTAGAAGGGGGGAGAAAATTAATATTTAATGAAATTGTTTCATGCCAGGCTCTGGCCTGTGTGTTCACCTACATCATATATTTTCATCTTCCAACACTTTAGAAGATAAGTATTCTTAGTCATCTCGTAGAGAAAACAAAATTGAGGTTAAGGTAAGTTAAAATAGATTCTACACTGCGGGATATACAGCTACTGAAACTTGGAGCCAGACTTCTCTCAAACTTTATAGCCTATAGATACCTTATAAATGATGCAGAAAATATAAACTAGGGCTGAATGCTAAATACAGAAATAAATTGTGTAAGTACTTGAGTTTACTCAGTCCAAGTTGTGCTAAAAGTTGTCTGTGTCGTTTCGTCCCTAGGCAATTATTTGGCAGAAAACTAGAGTATCAGATCATAAAATGGCTCTCATGTCTGTTCTGGGGACTGCTGTTACGGGCAATATGGAATCCTTTCAGTACCACTGTGAAGAATCTCAGGTATACAACAAAGATGTTCTTTAATGTACCACTGAAGCTGTTTAATTATTTCCTTTTTGTCGGGTTGAGGTAGCAAGAAATGTCTCTTTAGAAATTTTAATGACAAAGGATGTATAAGCTCATATTAAATCTCTTTTCCCTGCCCTACTTCCTGTTTTTATCTCTTCTGTTTATTGTTTTTAATTTTAAGTATCATGGTTACATTAATTGTTTAAGTGATTTTCAATTTAGAATCTTCATCTCTTTGCTTTCCTCAATGAAAGGAGTTGAGCCCTCTTACCTTTGTTTTCCCTTTCCCACCTTGTATTCCAACTTTATTTTCTTTATCTGTCAGCTCTAGAGAGTCTTCTTGAGGCCCTGTAATACTGGATGAGGTTATTAACACTCCCAGTCTTTCTTGTTCTTCTCTTCAGTCATGCCAGCCCCACTTCCATGTTATCTAGCTTCATAACCTGTTTCTTACGTAACCATCTTTCATTTGAAGATTCATTTTAAAAGTTGAAAACTTATATGGAGTATACATTATTATGACTTCTTTTCTTTTCTATAATTTGTTGCAGTCTCTAGGCTACTAGTTCCCCTCCTATTCTCTTTTACAATATTGAGTTCTTAATAATTATCATTTTATTAGTGTCCTAGATGGAGCTTATGCTCAATTAATCTATTAAGAATTCTCTCTGCCTAAGGAAAGTAGCCATGATCTGACTTGGGTTCTGTTTTTCAGAGCACCCTTAATAGTTGTTTAATAATTTAGACACTAGTGCCACTTTGGACTGGTCCTCTTGGCTGACTTGGGACAGTAAGGGTACTGTCTAAATTTTGCTGGGCTCTCTGTGGTTCCCTAGGACTTTGTTGCCCATGCTGGTAACCCAGGAAGCTGTGACAGGAGATTCAGATATGCTGTGTTGTGCTTTAGAGAGTCTACCTGTCACAGTTTGGTCTGAAGACTAGCAGCATCAGCATTGCTTGGAAACTTGTTAGTTTGACAGATTGAGTAGGGGACAGAGGTCTTTACTTTGGTAAAGGAGTACAAGAGACAGCAGCATGGAAGTGAGCTGGGATATTTTATCAAGTTTTGAATGTGGTAAGGTTAAGAAAATTTGTGTGAGCATTTGGAGAGGAAAGAAATAAAGGCTGTACATCTGTATCTTAGCATCACTGGTGTATGTTGTATAGATGGCAATGAAATTACCCAGATGAAATAGAGAGCAAGAAAAAGGGGTCTGATGATGAGACTGAGGGAGACTGTCACCCTCATACGCTCTAAGCAAAGGGAGAGGAAGTCCCACTAAAGAGGAAGTTTCAGAGAGGAAGTGGAAAATCCAAAAGAGAAGGCTGAAACAGTGTCATGCTTCCAAAGGAGAGAGTTCCCATTGGTGTCAGGGTCTGCAGAGAGTCAAGTAGTTCTACTAAGTGTCTGTTGGAGTTGGTCATTGAGGTAGAAGCTAGAGCATAGAAGGCTGGAGATGAAGGGAGGGAGAGAAGGGTTCATAGTTGAAGAACAATCAGGGGAGTATTATTTGTTTATATTTTGCCTTTGATTTTTGTTTTGCTTTTTACTTGAGTAATACTTGGGTATAGAATCTTATAAGGCCTATCTAATTTTTTATTTTGTTGCACTGATTTGGTCTGTTACAGAGATTTTTCTCCCCACAAGCTAGCCTGATTTTCACTTTTTGTAATATTTTATATGACTTTGCCATTTGATTTTAGTTTTCCATATAACTTACTGTGTGTTAATTCTTAAGGTTATCTATCTTAAGCCATTTTTAAAGCTCAGTATTTGGAAGTAATACTGTTTATTCAGTGGCCAACAAGATGGTGTGAAGGAAAAACACTAGCAATATTACTGATGTTTTCTTCATTTTAATCCTTATTCTTACCTGTTCTGGTTTTTTTTTGTTCTCCCATCAACAAGCCCACTAAGTCTTTCAGAGGCTGAACAGCCTTCCCTGATGCTCAGCAGGTGCTTTAAGAAGGCTCTCATATTACTTGGTAAATTATGCAAGCATTTATAAGGGTTGTGAAGTTTTATAGTTAATTAATTAAGTAGTTTCATTTTATAATGGATTATCTAGCTCTGTGTATTAACTTTTTTTTAATTGGCACAGTTTGGCACTGTGACAGTAACGCACTTAGTGTTCTAAAGTTGGTAATGCATCCATCTCCTTAAACACTTATTTCCAAGGACAGGGGTAGCCACAGACATAGGTGACAGCCTACAGCCTGTGTGGGTAAGGAGCCTCATGGCTTCTGCTTAACTAAAAATAGCAAAGCCCCTGACACTCTTGCTTTTTTAAACCTAAGCAGAAAATTTCTCATTATTACTGTTTCTTAACAGGTTAATAAAACATCTGATTCCAGTTGTTTCAGATAAGAGATGATTATAGGCCTGCATTTTGAATAATTTGACCAAGATCATACTAGTAGTGCAGCCGGAGTTTAATCAATGACAATCTGGCTCTATCCTGTATTCCTAACAGTTCTATTATCTCGAAAAGTGGGAGCATTTTCCTTGCTTTCTGTTCCCTAAATCTCTCTCCCTTCTCACTGGTATTTTTTCTAGGATCCTTCTTTATTTTACCCCTCCTTTTCATACATTTGTGAAATAGTTCTCTAAACAAAAATGAAGATAATGTACAACATTGTGATGTGTCAAAGAGTAAGAGATCTTTTTTCCCCTCAGTAATGAAAACCTAGTCAGATTGACTTCCTGGCATACTCAAAGATAGAAACAGCTACTTCTTTACAGAAAATGGTGGCTGAAAAGAAAAGGATAAACAGCCAGAGGAAAGTTACAATGTAAGGGAAGAAATTTTTTTGAAAATAGTAGGAGATAGGGTTGAGCAGAGAGCAGCAGTATTTATACTGTATGTCCTGTGACAATAAGATGTGTAGTCATGGAACTTTAATGAATGCCAATTTTCCCTTAAAATTGAAAGAAGGGATAGTTAGAGGCTGAGAACACCAATTTAACATGCTTCAGTAATTTAAGTTTAATGCTCATGACATTGTTATCAAGTAGTATATGGCTCTTTAGACCTTAAAATGAAAATCCATTTGTTAATTTTTGTTATACCTTTAAATGTATATACCAGATCCATGGAATCATGTTTACTGTTGACATTGCATATAAATTCTATAATTATTTATTATAATTATAGATTTTCCTAAGTGGATTTCTTCCAAAGCATGATGCAGACCACTCTTGCACAAGTCTTTCAACCCCAGAAAGGAGTTTCATCTTTATAAACAGTCGACCAGTACACCAAAAAGATATATTGAAGGTAATCTTTTTAAGAAAAAAGTAATTTGTCAGCTTTTTATAAGGGCTACTTGTAAGAATTTGTTCTAAAATAGGGAAAAGAAAAAATAGATATAATATGGGGCTTCCCTAGTGGCTCAGATGATTAAGAATCTGCCTGCAATGTAGGAGACCTGGGTTCAGTCCCTGGGTTAGGAAGATCCCCTGTAGTAGGGAATGGTTACCCACTCCAGTATTCTTGCCTGGAGAATCCCATGGATAGAGGAGCCTGGCAGGCTACAAAGAGTCAGACACAACTGAACAACTAACACTTCACTTTCACTTTTCACCTTACATATGACTCTTCACAACAATTCTGTGGTGAATTATCATCCTTATTTATAGTGAAGAAGGTCTTCTCTTGTGGCTCAGCTGGTAAAGAATCCTCCTGCAGTGCGGGAGATCTGGGTGTGATCCCTGGGTTGGGAAGGTCTCCGGGAGAAGGGAAAGGCCGCCCACTCCAGTATTCTGGCCTAGAGAATTCCATGGACTGTATAGTCCTAGAGGTTGCAAAGAGTCAGACATGACTGAGCGACTTTCACTTTCACTTTCATAGTGAAGAAACTGAATTGTTAGTGACTACCTTAGACCACAAAGCCAGGAAGTAACAGAATTTGAATTTGAACCCAGGACTTTGAAAACATCCACGACACTGTGATCTTTTCCATGAAGTCAGTTGCATTGGATGCATGCTTACACTTCATGTTAAGTAAATTCAAAGCCTCTAAATGAGCATTACTATTTAAATACTACTTTTCCTAATGAACAGTTACATCCACTCAGTTTCTCAGTTGAATATGCGTCTTCTGGTGGTATTTTAAGGATAATATTACTTAAATCATGCTATCTTTATTTATAAATACTTTAAAGAATAATAATACTTTAGTATATTTCTGTCATTTTTTTGTCTTCATTACATGTATTTTTAGCTAATCCGACATTATTACAATCTGAAATGTCTAAAGGAATCTACTCGTTTGTATCCCATTTTCTTTCTGAAAATTGACGTTCCAACAGCTGATGTAGATGTGAATTTAACGCCTGATAAAAGTCAAGTATTGTTACAGAATAAGGTAACCTTTTCCAGATAATTTTTTGTATTAAATTATTTATAAACTTATGCAGTCCTAGCCATTTTCATGTGAAAAAGATTTACTTTTCTGTATAGATTTTTTAATATTATTTCCATAATTTCCCCTAATACTTGTTAATTTGTATTTTTAGGAATCTGTTTTAACCGCTCTTGAAAATCTGATGATGACTCGTTATGGATCACTACCTAGTACAAATTCTTACGAAAGTAATAAAACAGATGTTTCCTCAGCTGACATGGTTGTTAGTAAAACAACAGAAACAGATGTGCTTCTTACTGAGATGGAAACATCTGGAAATAATTATCCAAATGTTGATACTTCAGCCATTCCTTTCCAAAATGATGTGCGTAATGATAAATTTGGGGAAAACACTAATTATTGTTTAAATCATCAGGTACATATTGGTGACCATTATGATGATCATCTTAATAGTGAAAATTCTAGCATTGATAAGAATGATGGAAATACATTTAAAGAAATCCCAAAGAATAATTCATCATGTGAGGACACCCAAGAGGAGTATAGTCAAACTTGGTCTGTGGATTCTGTTGAGCAAGCCCAATCAGCTAATGGCAGTAAAGGCCATAGAGATGAGAGTGGGAAAAAGGAAGAAGCAGCAGTTCCTGAGAAGTCTTTGGAAATTTGTGTAGATGACTGGAGTAAGGGAAATATGCTTAATTCTAGAGGAGAAAACATTGAACCTGTGAAAATTTTAGTGCCTCAAAAAAGTTTAGTGAGTAATGTAAGTAGTAATAATAGTAATACAAGTCCTGAACAAAAGAATCTCTGTGAAAGTTCCTGTAACAAAAAATCAAATGTGGTAGATAACAAATCTGGACAGCTTACAGCTTATGATTTAATTAGCAATCGAGTAATCAAGAAGCCCATGTCAGCAAGCGCCCTTTTTGTTCAAGATTGTCGTGCCCAGATTCTCACAGACAATCCCAAGACCAGCTTGGAAGATGCAGCAGTGCAAAGTGAAGAACTGTGGAAGACATTGAGTGAAGAGGAAAAACTGAAGTAAGTTTCCAGAGCTCTCGTGTGACCTGAATGCTAGGATATTTCCATTCTATATGACTCACTGGGTTGAAAAAGCTTCTTTTTCTTCTTATTTATGGAAAAGCAGAATGGAAAATACCTTTTGGCTTGTCCTAGAGTACCTTTTTGGCATCACTTTTTTGGGGGTTAATATAGAAATTTTTACCTTTTTTTTTTTTTTTTTCTTTTTGCTTGTTTTTTATTTTGGTACAAAAAAGCTACTTTCTGATTTAAGTTTGTAATTAAAAGTTTTACATTCTTAAGACTACCATTTTCTTCTATTTCTTTCTTATACTAATCTTTCTATTACAGGACTTTTTAAAACTTTTCTATTAGAACAGGGTTTCTTTTTTAAGATCTTGAATATTCCCTTTTTAAATTGCTCTTTAAAACATGTAACAATACAAAAAGTATAACATTGTTGCAGATTTAATTTAGTGATCTTAATACTCTTCCTATTCAGTATAACTCAAAAGACTTTCTTCTAAAATCTTTTTATTTATTGCCAACTTATAAACTATGGTGGGTTTGGAGGGGGAGGTAAATAGGTGGTTTGATCTCTTATTAAAAAGCTACATATTTTTTGCCATTTTTAGATCAAATGATCTGAATAAATTTAAAAAAATATGGTTGTTTCTAGTTGACCAAAGGCACTTGCTATAATCACAGGATGTCATGTTTTAAGTGATTTAGCTCACCAGAAAATGAAAGTTCAATTATAGTTCCAGTCATATATTATTACCTAAGGCATCTCAATACTGTGTCAGACATCTGGGAAAACTTTTAAATGTAACTGGTCATCCAGAGTTTATATTTGGTGATAAACTACATGGATACTTGACCAATTGTTTTTCTTTTTTTATTAGCTTATTCAGTCTTATAAAAATACTATCAATATTAAAGTAATAAAGATCACTATTAACACCAATAGGTAAAACCAAGTTAACTTCTACCTTTTTATTTTTTTTAGTGGGGATGGTGGTTGTGTTTTTTCTCTTAACATATATATATATATATATAAAAGACATAAATATTTTAATATGTATCTATAAAAGATAGACATATTCTTTTAGTTAGTTTATTTAAGCTTTTATTTTGCATGAAGATATAGTTAGTGAACAGTGCTTTGATAGTTTCAGGTGAACCACAAAGCAGTCCAGCCATATATACAGATGTATCCCTTCTCTCCCAGACTCCCCTCCCATCCAGGCTGCCACATAACATTGAGTAGAGTTTCATGTGCTATACAGTAGGTCCTTGCTGGTTAATATACTCTTATTTTAAGTAGAGCCGTAATACAATTGTCATCACTTTCTAAAACATGAATTTCTTAATCTTCAGTGTTCAAATTTGATTATTTCCTAAGTGTCAAATTAAGTCAAGATGCCAATGAAAGTCACACATTATTATTATTATTATTAGTTTTACCTAAATGACACATTCAATTTAAAGATGAGAGCATTTAAGTTTAATACAGCAAGCCCATGAAAATTAAATTGCATTGATTAGACAAAAAAAAGCATAGGTGTTCCCAGTTCTCATGGAAGTAGGTACAGTGCAGCAGCTTAAGGTAGCTATTCCCTTTCAGCCTCAAAACAGTAGTTATTACCCTAGTTTCAGCATTGTTTCTCCTTGCAGGCCCCAAGGTGTTAAGATTTAAGGGTTATGGTTAATAGACCTCATCTAAAAATGATCAGGCAGTATTCTGGAATTCAAAGTTTTCTCTTATTGCCATAAGGTAAACAGAAGAGCATTGTTGAAGACCTCTGAAGCTACACCTGGGTTCAAACCTCAGTTCCTCTCTTTTTTAGCTTTATGTAAAAATGTGTGCACAGTAACTTTGGGTTGTTGTGAGAATTAAATAAGATATATTATGTGTTATAAATGACTAGCACATAATAAATAATGTTCATGATGTTAATCAGAGTTTTTAATCTGTGAAAGGAAATTCCTCTCTTGTGATTGACATTATTTTTTATTTGCTTATTCAAGATTAAATTTAATTTGGAGGTCAGAAATAGCAACCTTGTGGAGAAAATTTAGGTTTCTTGGGATCAGAGAGCTTAGTAATGTCACAGAAAGCTCTATTAGAATCTTCCAGAGCCAGAGTCTGACAATCATGGCAGACCAGGTTGAAAATCATGATTAGTGAAAAGGTAGAGCAGAAATGTTTAACACTCAGGAATTGCATTAACTACCGTTTCTCTTCTCGTCTTTACCTTAGAATTCTTTTCCATGGTCTTGAGTTCTACAAGGAGTGCTAAGGAATCTGAGAGCAGTCTCCTACAGATAATCAGTCCTTCCATCTATTCTTTTTCTTTTCTTTTTTCTCTTGTTTCCAGTTTTTTTCCCCATCCTTTTTCCTCCCTTTTTTCTTTCTTCCTTCTCTTCCTTTCCTCTCCTGTCTTTTCTTTCCTTATTTCTTTCAATTAGGAAATACTTAGGCTTCCCTGGCACAGACAGTAAAGCGTCTGTCTACAATGCAGGAGACCCTGGTTCAATCCTTGGATTGGGAAGATCCCCTGGAGAAGGAAATGGCAACCCACTCCAGGTCTCTCGCCTGGAAAATCCCATGGATGGAGGAGTGTGGTAGGCTCCATGGGTCTCAGAGTCGGACACGACTGAGCAACTTCACTTTCACTTTCAGGAAATACTGAGAGCATTCTGTGTACAAGGCCCGTGTACTCTAGCTAATCATTTCAGATACAGTGATAAATGATAAATAAAACATACTTTCACTAATCAAAGTGCAATCTTAAAGAAGCAAGAGTTATGAAAACACTTAGCAGTTAGACTTAATCATATCTATAGGACAGGAGATACTTCCTGAATAGAAATTGATCAGGATGGTGTAGAGAATTTTCTGTGTAGAACAGCTCAAAGGAAGACAGTGTTGAGGAATGGAAAGATGCCCTTTATGACAGGAATGTATTATTGAGGGAGTGTGGTAAAGAAGGGCTTCCCTGGTGGCCCAGCCAGTAAAGAATCCGTCTGCAATGCAGGAGACCTGGGTTCAATCCCTGGGTTGGGAAGATCCTCTGGAGAAGGGAACGGTTACCAAAAACAAAGATCCTGGGATCCAGTCAGGTCAGATCATGGAAGGTTTGAAGAGTTTTGAATAATACCTAGGATCAGGATTTTCTACCAACAGCTTAGGATAGACTTACAGTAGAAGGTTCCTACATTTTAAATTTTTTCCTTTCTGGATTCCTCTCCCCACCCCACCCCACCTTGCTTTCCTCTCTTTTCCTCTAGTGGATTAGAAACCACTTTGTCCTCCTACTAGTATCTCAGTCAGTTTGACTTGAACTTTTGTTTGTAGTAGCCATGAATATATTTCTACTTAGAATAACTAAGAATAATACTGTAATTGGGATAATATTGAAAATGGTAAATAAACTTTGTAATTACATCTAATCTTGAGACAGAGACACTTGAGTTGATTAATGATAAACCAGAATTAGTATTTTTCATTTAAGTTATTACTAAATCCCTTAATGACATAAAGTCAAAGATAACAGCTGTTTTTACTTAATATTTACTTAATATTCCTTTGGACATAACTTTTTATATTTCCCAAGGGACTAATTAAATTGACTTCTTGAATAAATCAAAAGATTAGTATCATGTGTGAAAATTTGCACATTATAATTAATTACAAATGGTAACCTTCATTTTGAACTCACTCCACTGTAGGAGAAAAATTTGAATTTGAATCTCCAGGGGCTAAAAATACGTATTTATAGTACTAATTGAAGGTAAACTATATTGAAAACTTTGTGCATTGTAACTTAGAATTTCAGATTCTAAGTGGAAATGGAAGAAAATAACATTAATAATTATGAACATGGCCTGCCTAGTCAGCAACTATAAGAAGCATTTTTCATTTACCTAGTTTATAGTGAAATAAAGTCTTTTTTTTTACATTCTTATCCAGCTAATATTTCTTTATTCAACAAATACATACTGAATACAAACTACACAGTGTGCATGTCTCTTGTGTCTTAGTCTCACTTTCTACATTTAATACCATTCTCCCAATAGTATTATTTTTATTTTCTAATACATTCCTATTCAAATTTCTTCTTTAAAACGTATGTATGTTACCTACAATAGAACTCAACCAGTTTCTTAAGAGTTTCTAAAGATCAGAATTACATTCTCTAGTCTGCATTTCAAAATGCATTTAAAAATCTTTCTAGCAAGGTTGCTTAAATAATTACCAGTCTTTAATCAACTGTGTGCCCCATTCATTATAAGATAGGTGTTTCTTGATAGAAAATAATGATGCCATGTATTTATTATCATTTACTAGGTTCCAGGAACTATCCTAAGTACCTAAAACATCTTAACCCATTTTATTCCTCACATCAAAGCTATGAAGTATTTAAGATGTATATTATCTAGACACTACAGATGAGCCTACTGAAACACAGGAAAGTTAATTCATTGTGTTCAGCTGCTAAATGGCAAAGACAAGCCAGGCAGTCTGTCTCTGAGGTCTATGCTCTTAGCCAGTACAATTTGCTGAATACAAATAGCGGTTTTTAGTTCTAGATTTGTATTAGAATCAGCCATGGAGCTCTCTAAAAACACTACTGCCCAAACTCAGCCTGTGTATGGAGAATTGGAAACCCTAAGAGTGAGACCAGTAGAAAAGGGATAATATAACAACTATACAAGACTGTTTTTGGCCCTAGAAGTTCATTTTATCCCTGTTATTATTAGTCAGAATAGAAAAGATCATTTAACTTTTTAACCCACTATAATTTTAAAAGGTCCATTATCTTGGATCTTTGCGTTCGGTTTATTTGAACTTTTTTTTTTTAAATTGCTGACTCTAAAATGAGAAATAGTAACTGAAAAAATTAACATTTAGCTATAAAACTAAATTATAAATTCAATCATAGAATTTTTATTTCGAGCGTTACTATTAGACTGACCTTAATTTTATTAGTATATAATTACTAGGGCTTCCACAG